CCCCCCCCCCCCCCCCCCCCGCAGATGCGCGTGGAAGCGGCTCGTCTTGTTCGCACGCTTTGTAACGGGTCGGACCTGACTCTTCAGACGCTCATATCTTGCGGGGGGCTCTCGGTGCTGGCCCAGTTCCTCGCCGCGGGGGGGCCGCGGATTGACAGCGAGGGGGTGAGAGGGGCAGACGCGCGGCGCCTCGTGCGCATCGGCATCGACGGCGTGCTCAAGGTGTTCTCGCTGCAGCGCATCCGCCGGAACGACTTCTGCAAGCTGTTCCTTCGCCTGGGCCTAATGCCCCGTGTCATGGTGGGTAGCATACCTTCTTTCCCTGCATGTTTGTTACACAGCGGTCACGGTGGCAGTAGCGCTGGCCTCTCTGCCAGGGTCGACGGGCGACGCCGGTTCCTGTCAGCGTTGCAGGGGTCGCGCAGACGGGGAAAGGTTTTGGGGGGGCGGGGGGGGGAGGCTCTTTCCATGGTTATTTGCATCTCTGTTTCGTAACGTACCGATGATTCAAATGGATGCACAATTGACGGGGCAGGCAGGTTTTTTCGACCCGACCGGGCGGGGGAGCCTCGCTGATTTACCGGAGCCTCATGGAAGCCAGTTCGCGCTCTGGTGATGCCTTTCCAGAGTAGTGGTCGACGTGGCGCGCAGGCTTTCTGCGGCGGTGTTGAATACCGTTTGACTTGCGAGACCTGCGACGACGGTCGTGAGCTAAAGTGACCACGCAAATATAGAAACACTATCGAGAGCGTTGTGGGGCGGGGGGGGGGGGGGGGGNNTATTCGGCGAGTCGCATGAAGGGTGCGCTGCATCCTGCTAAGGGTGTTCGACATCATGTGCATACTTCCTTGCGTACGGATGACAGCTGCGTATGACTTGATTCATTTTCTGGTGCTTTCACTTCCAGAGACAGTTGAAAGCACCGTGTAACTGCCTCAAGGGTGCTTGACCATTTTAACACGACGTGGTGACCATCCCCCTTGCGCGGAGTGAGGGTTCTCGACCCCGCACAACATAATCTACTCGGCCACCATTATGGTTACCGCCAAAAAACAACTAGAGGT